CAACCTGCGTGCTATGCAATGCTGTTTATTAACTTAAATAATATTTTTTTTTTCAAAAAAAGTTACCTTATTCTACTTTTTGATACCCATTAAATCAATGTATACCCAAACTTTGAGGAGTTGTATCTCGTCAACGGATAAACGAAAAATGAAAATTTAAACGTGATAATTCATAAGAAAAAAAGCCTTACTAAATTATGAAATTTTCAGTATGGGTTACCATTTGAAAATCAAAAGTTGATGGTGGTTTACCTAATAAATATAAGTGTGAAAAATATTAAATAATTATATAATTCTAGAACAGCGTAAATCTAAAATTTTGAAAAAAAAAAATTTGAAAAAAGTGAATACTTTTTGAGATAATGAGTGTTTTACGCTTAATCAATCACCCTGTATTATGAGCCAAGGTGGTTTTAAATCTCTATTCATGCTTAATACAATTATTTTAAAAGTATGAAAATAAGTAGATTCATTAGAATCTAATGGGTCAGGAACTTTTTCGTGGGAAAGAACCGTTTATAAAAAAAAATTACTAACCCATGATGTCCAGAAAGCCACAGATTATTATTATTATTTTTTTTTTGTCGTAGTGTTATAATTTCGTTGAGAAATTGGTAGGCATTAAAAACATAATTATACGTCTTAAGATATGGAAAAACTGTATTTCGTTAATTCATTATTATCAATATAATTAGAAATAAATATAAATATACATTTATAATATCATTATTTTTATTATTATAATAATAATTTAATTAAACACAATAACACTCAAAAATAAATAAAACGTATCTGCTGAATTAATGGAATTAATGAATTTGATAGGATGCATTTTCCAAAGAGCCACAGTTTTCTAATTTGCATGTTAAGCTTAAGAAGTTGCAGGTTCCCGACCTCTGTATTAGATATAAATACATTAGCTACATATGTATAGTACAGTACCTAAGCTATGATATTGTTATAATTATTATACTTTTATGCATAGGTTATAAACTTTAAAACTTATAAATAGTATTATATGTCTAAATAATAATAATATTTTATTATATTATTTTAATTAGGTACCTATGTATAGACTATAATATAAACTTATATTTCAATTCTATTCTTGTATACTTAAATAGTCGAACTATATAATAGTTATACTTAAAGCTCTAAAATAAAAAAATATAAACCTATAATATCTTTTATAGAAACAGATATTTGTTTTACTTTTATTAGTAAGTTATAATTTTGATGAAAACATTGCAATTATTGTATATTAATAATTATTTTAAATTTTAATATGTTGAACCTAAGTTAAGTTAGGTTAGTTATACCTATATATTTGTATTATATTTGTTATCGTAGTCAAGAAAATTTTTAGAGATTTAAAAATGTTCACGATTTTGGTGAATTTAATCAAAATTAAACTTCAAAGTTCATAAAAAAATGATTGTAGATTTATGCTTTGATTTAGCTATTTATCACTGAGAAGACCGAAAAAATTAATGACTTATTATTACGCATAAAAAAATATCTAATTACCAACATTGATTCCAAATATTCGGAAACAACATTTTTTCAAAAAGGCGTAGAAAATGGTTATGTGCTGGTTGATATTTTAAATTCTTAATATCTATCCGGATATAGGTAAGGTACCTTTCAGCGTATAACTGTGTACTGTGTAGCATGGTGGGAATTTCAGTGACACTCATTAAAAACTAAAACCATATCTAATTATTCACTGTGACTGGCCATTTTTGTATATGATTAAAATTTAAAAGCACACTAGTAGTAAAATATTAATACGAAAATGAATAAATTATAATTCGAATAATCAAGTACGAGCATAAAACTTGTCACAACTTTTATTTTCTTAATATTTTCTTAATAAGCTTATCTGAAAAAAACGTATATTAATTGTAAGGACACATAGGTAATACATACTATTCTTAGCACACGATAAGTAACATTTAGTTTATTTAAAAAAAATAAAATAAAATAGTCTTAGAAATCAGGACTAATCTATTGATTATGTCTGTGATTTATTTTTATTTTATACGATGTTAATTGGTAATAGGTACTTACTAGTTACTAAATAATAGTTAATTATATTTTACTTTTACTTAATTTGAATAAACTTAACGTTTCCATATGTACCCTAAATTCATTCATAATAATAATTTTATAATGACAAAATACACGCATTTTTAAATCTTTGAAAATTAAACAAAAATATTTTTTGTTTCAAATCCACTCGCTGTAAATCAATCAATTTTTGAGATAGAAAAAAATGTAAGTATGGATTTAATTTATAGTTATATAATAATTAAAAAACTTAATTGAATTTAAATATAAATTAAATTCTCTTCCCGTTAGTTGCTGATGAATCTACCTATATGTATAACCAAACACACAGTGTTTGAAGCGGAAATAATGCTACAATCTTCACCTTCGGCGATAATAGTTTCTGGTATCTACTAAATCTATTATTGGGTAGGTACCTATTTTGGAGAGGTCAATAATAAGAAACAAAGAAAATCTATTATACATTATTTTTTTAAAGTATAATAAATTGGGAACAATAGTTACAACAAAGTAATAACTATACGAATATACGATAGGTAATGGGAATGTCTATCTACGCACTAATTTTTTATTATTTGATTTTGTTTTATTTTTGTAATTTATAATGACATACTGTACGGAGGGTTATATGGGTATATTTGCACCAATAATGCGAGTGATTTAAGTACCTATATAGTATAGTTATAGTATACACATATAGTAATGTAGATAATAAACATTACAATCAATAATAATAAGGCCTATAGTGTATATAGCATGGTAGTTGACCGGCAGTCTCTAATGTCTGCTGCGGTTAATGATTGTCTGGCGTCATAGATTCTAGGATGGGTGACCTTCTTGGATTTAATACGACGAATCCTCCCCATATAAAAACACGCGTTCAAATCGTATTCCAACCGTGACCACCAGACATCGCACAAACTAAGTGGCCCATGTTGCCGAGAGTATAAAATAAATTTAATATAACATTTTATATTTTACCAATGTGATGTTTTTAGGAAAACATTTTAACCTACCCAGTACCGGATCTACAAATTATGCAACCTGGGGCACAACATAATATTAGCGCCCCTAAAAGTCACCAAATCATAAAAATGATGAAATTAAAATTTGAAATTTGGGCCACTCTATGATAAGCGCCCGGGGCATGGGCCCGGGATCGCCCCCCCCCTAGATCCGGTACTGAACCTACCGTAATACTAGTGCGTAGAAAAATAAATTTCCAATTTACATATAAATAGCCAAAAGGTACATCTAATACAAATATTTTATTTTATATAGATATCCTTAGAATAATTGGAGGCGGGACTTATCATCTCAGCTCAGAATCGTTTTTCATTTAAATATATATAGTATGATTTAACATTAAATCCTGCAAATCTAACACGTCCATAATCCATTTAGGTACAGTGATCAATAGGTACTGCAATATCTATAAGTATAAGGTATATAATATACTCATTAGTGAAGTTACCTGTTTACTAAAAACCTACATACCATCTGCAACAGACCAATGAGTTTTCCGGTTTTATATTTTTATCTTTTCGTAACATAATTATATATTATTTTATAATAATGCTCATAACTTCCAATATAGGCAGAGGCGCGTAGAGCTGGTACACGATATACGTACTGTATGTACCTATACCGATACCATGTATAGCGTACCACGGTTATAGATAAATATATATAATATATTATTTTAGGGCTCGGATGTTGTTGCACTAAAAATGTTGTACAATTGATTGCATTATTGCTGTGAAAAAAACCCAAAATTGCACTAAAAAATTGCAATAAAAAAATATTTTGTACCAAAAAAATAAAAAAATATATATTAACAAATTATTTTATGAAATGGATTAAGTCATTTTATTAAGTAATATTTTAAAGTTTTATTAAATAGGGTTTAAACGAGTAGATAATAAAAAAGAATCAAATTCAAATTCTCGTCAGTTGTCATCAAAAATCTGGTAAATTGTGCGGTCTTCTTATTTTTTCAGAAATCTACAAATAATTTTATCAAAATTTATAACTTTTTATTTAAACTATGTTTGATTTGTTTTTTTAAAAAAACCTTACCTTAAAAATTATTGCACTGTATAATGTAACAAAAAAAAGTGAAAACATAAAAAAGTATATAAAATTGTATTGAAAATAACGACAATCAACAAAATTGAAATAAAATTGAAAAAAGGTCAAAAAATTGCAAAAAGTTGCACTTAAAATTTTTATATTTTAATTGGTACTCGTTTGAAATAAATTCATAACTTACTTAGCAACGAATCCGAACAATAGAAAAAAAAATTGCAAATGCAACAACATCCGAACCCTAATTATTATATACCTAGGTATCATATTATGTAAAGCTATACGTCTTATATGTCGTGTCACTCGAGGGCGTGGTAACTATGGTTAAATCTGGTAACCATATTCGTTAATAAGTTAAGCCGCATTCAATTCTGGGTATTCTCGGTTTTAACTTGCAGGTTATACCACCATACCAAAAGTTAAGCTTACAATCAGAATGTGGTTTGATCGACACGGCACGACACACGGCGTAGGTGTCTGTGATTTGTGAATCCGGTTGTTTAAGTGTAGAGAGCTGGTATATGGTATACGCACTGTAGGTACCTATCTACCGTACAAGACCAAGTATTACTTATTACCGCTGCAGCTGCTGGTTATATACATTTAATATTATAGGTATATAATGTAATATGTTTAGGTACATATGTATAACACTTGAACGTATAGGGTAAATAATACACAACTACCGCGTCCCGAATTCACATAATATTGCTAGATATTTTATGGGGAGGGGGAAGGCGTGGTCGCAGCACCGGTGTCTACGCCATTGGCCACCGTCGGGTTTGGCCCCCTTTCGCCGTCGTTACCGATGCTGTCGAGTCGGCTGGTCGCAATACGCTCGCAACAGTCGCAACAGTGCACAGACGCATCGCCGCGTTCCGTAACCGGTGTACACCGTAGTGTCTGCTCTCCGAAATCGATAATCGTGTGCGTTCTCATTTTATACGACCTGATATTATTATACATCGCCCTGCGTTGATTTATAGGATAATACGTTTTTATGTTTTTGTAACAGTTTCATAAAAAAACAATAAGTTTTTCTTCCGTGTAATTACAATTTAATAATACTTGGAGTTAAATATTATATTATTATACCTATAGTATAGGTATACGCGTGACGTTCCTAAATCACCAATTATTTACCACGAAATCTTGTGTGAGACATTTTATTGAATTGTGCGTTTTGGTTTTTACCCACTTTTGTTTTTTGCCGCCTTTTACCGCGAACAAGGTTCGAAATTATTCGTTCAAAATTGGCCGCATCAAGCAGAATCCGGTTCGTGTAGCCACTGGCGAAACGGCTGCGCACGACTTGGTAAGCTTATTTATCTACCTATACCTATATATACGCGTCTTGTTGATTTTTTTTTACATGTCTCTGTCAAATCGGTAAAGGAGTTGTCGTACAATACGCTTTATATGCCAATATATGATATAACTATATTATTTTTATTATTTATGCTTATGCATTAGGTATACTTAATTATTTTAAAAATTTGAATTTTTCCAATAACTTATATATTAGCAGTCACATAAGTAATGGTATTGGTGACCTAGAGTGCGCCATCTAAAATAGTTACGTTTTAAAAAGTATGAGCTGTTTGTTTCCCATCTATTTAATAGGTACACATATTTATATAATATATACTTAACATATATTTATTTATTGCCTATATTATAGATAATATTATCAACGTAAATAATCAATAATCAATAATCATGAATAATAAATAAATATAAACTTAATTATTAAACTATACCTATGTTATTGAAACACAATTATCGAGTAGACCGCGGTTGTCAAGTACCAACATAGTTTATAGTAAAAATAAATACTAAATGTATAAATATAACTGTAAATATTTGCATACATTGGATTGTATATAAAATTATAATAATATAATATAGAACCTATATAATAGGTAATATTTCGATAATACACTAATACTTCCTTATAAACAATTATAATTATTGAATCTTGAGGTTCTCACTATTAAAAATCTATTCGTAATCTATCTTCGTTATATTATAGATACTCCCATATCTTTAAACATCAATTTTTTGCTATACACAGAGTATATTATATACCTTCAATACATCTATAATTAATGATAATAGGTACTTCTTCTATAAAAGAGTTTAAGTAGGTATTAACACTCACAATGTGATAAGACTATGTTTATAGGTAGGGATTATAGCCCAGTATAGGTAGAGGTTTTCCGTAAGTATAGAGGTGGAATTACTACAAACAACACAAAATGTTTTAAAAACTATGTCTTCTCTTGTCTTCCGGTCGATATAGTTGTCTAATGTTATAAAATAATAATTCTTAGGTTAATAAAGGGTTGTATAAGTATAGGTACACAAACAATTTATACATGCTCGTATCATACAGTTGTGTATCGAGAGGGTTTGACATTTTTAAGTGTGCGTACATACGTAGTTTTTTTATTGAATTATTATTAGGTCCTTGTAGTAAGTAGGTAAACTGTGTATGGAATATATAAACGTGTATTATATATTTATATATTCAATATAGCAAATACTATTGTAATACATAGCTCATCATATAGTCTAAAAATAAATAATCTATTAATCGTGTACACATATATAATATGTAATATATAATTCAACAGCAGTGTACTATTACAGTTACAAACAAATTAATACAAAAATAAATAATAATGCTAATTTTGACTTGAATGATTAACATAAATGATATCACTATGACTATATATTAAATTAGATACATAAATATAACAGTTTGTTCAAAATATTAATAGTTCAGAACAAATTTACCTATGCATATACAGGGTGATTCTTTTAAGTGGTACACTAATTATCTCGAAAAATATCTAATTTTTTAAAAATATTTTTTTACATGGTTTCAAGTTGTTAAAAACCCAACGTTTTTATTAAAAAATTATATTTTTAAATATTTTTTATCCTTATCATWTTTTAAGTTTTTACTTTTTTGAATGACAACATAAAGTTTTAATTTCATATTCCAAAGCAAAATATTCTTCTAAGTATTTTGATTCATAAAAATCGAATTTAGGGCTAATAGTTTTTGAGTTATAAGTATTTAAAGTTTTGATTGGCAGAGTGGAGTGGTACGGCAAAATGTTTGTCCACTACTCCGCTTGTCTAAACTTTAAATACATATACCTAACTCATAAACTACTCGTCCTAAATTCGATTTTTATGAATCAAAATACTTAGAAAAATATTCTGCTTTGGAATATAAAATTAAAACTCTATGTTGTCATTCAAAAATTAAAAAACTTAAAAAATGATAAGGATAAAAAAATATTTAAAAATATAATTTTTAATAAAAACGTTGGTTTTTTAACAACTTAAAACCATGTAAAAAAATATTTAAAAAAAAGTAAATATTTTTCGAGATAATTAGTGTAACCACTTAAAAGAATCACCCTGTAAAATTGAATTGTACAATGACATATAATAGGTAATGTAAAAATATAATACTCTTCTTAAAGTTAGCAACCTATGTAATTAATACTTAATCAATAAAGAAAATAATAACAGGTATGTTTTCTAAACTGTGTAAATTGAAATTATAACCTGTATATATATTTATATTTATTTAGATTACTCAGCAGCAACGTCATGATAAATTTTTTATCCTTCTTTACATAATAAGGCAGAGTTTAATAAAATCATATTCATAGATGATATCAGTGGCTTTTATTTAAAGTAATCTATTTAAATCTATCTACTAAATAATTTAAATTTTTTGTATGATTACTTAAATTACAAATAGTGTATATTTGTTTAATTTTATTATTAATTAACACTATTGACACCAAAACGTTCTGCCATAGGTGGCATTCTTTGTAATTAGACAAATATTTTTCTGGAGACATACCTAAGTAATATGAAAATAAAATTGTATTATTACTATTATTATTATTATACCAAAAAAACCAATTCAATAAAAGTAAACAAATTTTTCAAATTTTTCAAATTTATCATATTAATTTTCTTTATACAAGGAAAGTTCCCAAATCTTTGTGAAATAATAAATTAAAATCAATGATATATTTAAACTAATATACATTTAATATGGTTCAGATATTAATTTGTATTTTCACGATTTACGTGATGAAATTGCCCATTGTTTAAAGCTCCTAATAACTATTAAGTAGCCAACTTTTGAATAATTATTATAATACGTTTTGTCACTTTTAGTTCATCTAAAGAAAAAAAATCTAAATTTATATTATAATTTAGCTAGGTGGTGTTAATTATTATTCCAACTATAACTATATATATCTACTTTTTACCTGACCATTTATAATATATGATATATAATAATGAGCAATGTTACTCACAACAACGATGAATAAAACTATACAATAAGTAAAAGATATGATCGGTTTTAAATTAATTTTGTTATTTAACTTCAAACTGATTTTGTTGTAAACAAATAATTAAACTAGTTTAATATATAATGATATGGTATCATGACCTTGTGATTTGTCACTTAGCAGCTTTAGTAATGTAGATTTAACGACATAGGTAGCTATAGTTTGTACAATAATTATAGTCGCAAAAAATAATTTGGATATCGTAATAGCTCATTTAGACATATTATAAGTAACACCTGTAAGTAAATCTTGATCTCCATACTTTTTTTTTAAACTATAATTTGTTGTGCCTTAAAATTAAATAAATATAAAACACAACATAATAATTAACAATTATAATGAATTTAATAACATACACTTAGAATAGGTAATAATAGGTACCTATTCAAATGTCTTATGAACTTATGCATGATTGGATTTTTTCAGATAGTTGATATTTTTTATTCTAAATATTCTAATATTGAATATTAATGAAATATATTAAATGCATTTTATTTTAAAATCACTTAATTTACACATTATTTCCATGAAGAATTTTAAAACCTTTTTTTTTAGTTAAATAATTAAAACAAAAGTAGGTACATTTTTGTTAGTTTAGCTATAGCGCTAACAAGTATCAATTATTAAATCCAACATAAATTGTTGTTTTTAATTCTATGATACTTAGAGAGCCTATAGATTATAATTATTATTCTCTTATGTTACCTATATCCATAATCTGATTTGTATAATTTCACAGTAAATTATATTTTTGTATGTAGCCTAATAAATTCACTAAATATATACATAACATACGAAAATAGGCATTTAAAACAATTATCACCATTAATTAAAATAATTATTTAGTTTTAGTTATTGGTATTGTTTAAAATCATTATGTAAATTATAATTAAAAAACCATTAAATAATTATTAATCAATTATTACGTAACTTAAAAGTTCAATGGAGTCGATCGATATCTTTATTTATGATGAAAAATAGGTACTGATTCTATAATTATAAATAATAAATTACCTGTTAATAACCTGTATTTTTCATATGGCCTATAACAAAATATTAGAAAAGCAATTTGAATGTAAAACAAGTGACAACCTAATATCTAATAAAGTAATAAATATTTACACATTATACATCGTTTAAGTATATAGATATAGTTTAACGTTTTAAAATCTTTCAGTTACTTATTTTAAAATACAAAGAATAATATTAGCACTACGTGACTAAATAAATTATGTTTTTAAAAATGTGTTGCGTAAAAGTATTATTATTAAACAATGTTAAAGTTTTACTTATATTTAAAAACAATTGATACCCACCAAGTAAAAAATAAATAATAATTTAGACATTAATAGACATACTATAACACAAAATTTACAATAATAATTATTAGGGCAATAGAATATATTATGATATTCTGTAGTATTTATATAATTAAATTATTATATGTTCTGAAATCATACGCCACATAAATAAAATAAATAAACTTAAATGAATACATTTTCAAGTAATGTATGCTTTTCAGGTAATAATTGTTATACCTATATAGGTTTATAGTTTCATAGGTTCAAAATGTATATAGATACAACTACTATTATAAATTAATAATTATTAAAAAAAACTGCTATATTAATGGTATTAAACGGGTTTGTATGTGTTAACATTTTAACTAAGAAATGTTGGTACAATGTTTGACGCTAAAAAGTGTCCTTGGTCCTTATCGATATAGATATTATGTTAAAGAAATTGATGTGTATAGGGTTGAACATATTTCTGGTGTAAATCCTTTCGGTACAATACAAACATTTATTTAGTTAGGGCTATAGAGAATTTAGTCACCGCAGCCATCACTGTTCAAAGGGGCCGATCAGATATTTTTACAAGGGTAGTTTTTTTTCTCTCAAGGACAAAAAACAAAATCACAAGT